TCTCCGAAAAAAAAATGTTAGCGAGAATGTAAGCAGTAATTTCTCCTCGATATGTCCAGGTAAAAGGAGGCTTTTCCACTTCTTCGGGCGTATTGGGCATAGAGGGCTAGATACATTTTTTATAGCCAAGTCGGCACTCGTTGGGTGATGGGTTCAATATCACGCCGGCCGCCTTTACTTCCGAGAACTATACCTTGAACCCAAAAAGGCTGGGTCGACCTGAAAGCCAGGATCATTTAAGAAAAAAGTCTGGCTCCGTCAGAACCCGAACCAACGATCCGCAGGCGATCGTCTAGCCGCTACACCACAACGGCTACCATGTCCAGGTAAGCGTATGTAAAAAACGTGGGGGTCTAGGGTTTAAATCCGCATCACTTTTTTTTTTTTTTTTTTTTTTTTTTAAATTTGATGTAGGTTCCCAATATACCCAGTCTAAAATGCGTAATTTCATTGAAAGTAAAGACGGCGGCTGTCAGGATGACAACATAGTCTATCTAGTCTCAGTTGGTCAGTACAAATAAAGGGTCCTTTTACTTTAGTTATGTCGTTGCTGACCAAATGTGGCTGTAGTATATATGGATAGTTGCATGTCTTTGATCCTTTACAGAACGTTGCAGAACGTACTAAACTTTTTTTTTTTTCTTTTTTTTTTTTTTTACCGTATGTAACTTTGCTAGGCAATTTTACTACATTATGGGTGTCGGAATATATAGCAAAATTGAAAGTATTTATTCCTTTTTTTTTAATTGCCTCCTCTTTGATGCAAAAAAGGTTATCTATCACACACGCCAGAAAGAGGCCGCTTTCATTTTGTCAGGTCAGTCACATTATAAGATATCTGGAGCGCTGGCGTGCGGCCACGATAAAAACATTAGGAGGAGGAGGGAAGGGCTCAGCCTCAACAATAATTTTCTAGACCTGGGAGATGTGGCTAAAGCTTTATTTAATTGCGCAATAATAATAGTCATATGATGATGATGATGATGATGATGATGATGATGAAAGGAAGAAATCGAGAAGAGAATGTCCATCAGTATCTCAGATACCCCGACATTCTAATCGACGAGAACTTGGACATTAAGTCAGAGTTGGCTGATCGAAACTTCGGAGACTTTTTCAGGCCATAAACCGAGGGTTTCTCAGCAACCCCCCCCCACCCCAAGAGAAGAAATTAGCAAGCCCCCCCCCCCCCCCCCCCCCCCAAAAAAAAATGACTGTATACCGCTGCACCTATGTGTCAGTCTTGACATATGTTTGTGAGTCATGGGCAATGACAACAACTTAAGATGCCAGCTTTAGGCCTCAGAAATGAGATATCTGAGAAAGGTTGTCTTAGTCACAAGAAGGGATAAAGCTCGCAATCAGACAATAAGTCATGACCTTGAAACCCTGTCCTTACAAACTCGAGTTGATCAGTCACATTTAACTATGGTTTAGACATGTATGGAGAATGTGAGAAAATCGGCCACCATGGCAGGGATGTGAGGCCAAGAACCAGGGAACCAGACCACCAGGACAGCCCAGTATTAGCTGGGAAGACAACATCCGACAGTCCCTGACTGACAGAGGACTGGAATCGAACAAAGCCAGGAAGAAAACATCTGATAGTGGAGTCTAGCGATCTCTTTGGCAAACCTCGACACCCCAGGATAGAAGAGGAGGGACTAAGTATTTTTAAACAATTAAACACAGATCAGATCTTCTGATCAATTGTAGTGGCACCTCGGTATACGTCATTAATCTGTTCTAGATCCTTTGACTTATACCAAAAAGAAATTATACCAAACATGGCGTACACCAAACAGGACGTATACCACACAAGACGTTTACCAAACAGGACGAATACCAAACAGGAGTTATACTAAAAAAGACGTATACAAGACAGGCGTTATACCGAACAGGATGAATACCAAACAGGACGAATACCAAACAGGATGAATACCAAACAGGACGAATACCAAACAGGACGAATACCAAACAGGACGAATACCAAACAGGAGGTATACTAAAAAAAGACGTATACAAGACAGGCGTTATACCGAACAGGATGAATACCAAACAGGACGAATACCAAACCAACAGGATCTATACCAGACAGGCTTTTACTTGCTTCGCTTTAATTTGTCCTCCCATTATGGTTAAAAAGTGTTGCACCTTTAAATTTGACCGACAGGTTTCATGTGTTTCGTCTTTATTTCTTCCAGTAACTATCTTTTCATTCCACGTCTCTTGAAAACATCTATGTTTGACTGATTGTTCGATTCTACGAAATACGACCTTTCTAGCTAAATATCCATATTTCCAGCGAATCAGTTCAACTTTAGTGCATGATCTACTAAAACTTAACGTACCGTTACACTGTCTGTGTCCAGTGAGTATTTACTCTCTTTGTTTAGGGAGAGTTCTAAAACAACAGTAAGCTAAGTGGGAAATGGATGATTCTGCAGCTTGCCAATAAAGATACACATCAAACTGCATCGTATCGTGCGTCAGTGTTTCACTCCCCAGGAATCAACTCTCATGAATGACCATGTGAGTGCTTAACGCGCAATTCACAAGACGAGTTGGCAAGAACACCTTCATCAGACAACACGCAGGAAGCGGTGCCTCACATAACGGACTCGATACCCACTAAATGGTTTTACAACATCAATTCCGGCATCGATTTATTTGGCAGAATTTGTAAGGTTGAAGACCCACAAATGTTATACTACTGCATGAACCTGCGTGAACAGTAACAGAATCAACAAAAGTGGCAATATAGATAACAGGAGATATTGCCTTTATCTTTGAGATCTATTTGTCAGGGAATAAAATACAACATGTTTGTCTATCCCTTTGCAAATGTTCTGACATTTGTTAAACTAACGAAGTGTTCTGTGTAGGTGGTAAAAATGTCATCAACATCATCGGTTCAGTCGCAGATCGTTGTTACCCTTATTTCCCGCTGGAAAGACATTGCCAGTTCTACTATTTTGTGCATTTTCAGACTAAAGTTGTCTCTAATATAATTAACATGCATTATTTTGTGTTTTTAAGCATTTAATGAAAATAATGCAAAGATAACACGTTTCTCTCGGTGTTTTCCCCTGTCTCTCCTTTCATAAATTTTCCAGATGTCATAAGCGTGTGGTTTTTTTTTCTTTATAATAATGTGTCCAAAGAATGATAATAGCGTTGTTCTGATTTTGAGATAAACAGGCATCGATTAATTTTTACACACTGCACATAATTACAGATATGAGAATCGACATCACAGCATACAAGGCATAAATAAATGCTGACTCGCAGCAAATGTCTAAAGGTATAAATGCTGACTGCTCCTGTAAATGCACACGTTACACTTGTTTTCTCATAACCTCCTTTCTTGTCCACTTAACGCCATGTTGACGCACAGAAAACAGCAGAAAGAGCAGTAAAAATCTAGATTTGTAATTTTGAATCTGCCTAGCGAGAAATTAGAATTCGGTGCATAGTTAAATTAATGTAAAAAGCTCGAAAACAAGAACAATAACAAAACCAACACCAACCAGAAACAAGACATTTCCACAAGATGATGGATGGAATTTGTCGAGACAGCCGCGGGAGAGCTGGTCTTTTGATAGGAAATTAATCCAGCTAAACTATGTACATCAAATGGCTACCAGGAAATGGTCCTTCAGTCCATTACTTCTTTAGACTAGTAAATGTCCTCTTGTGTCGTACTACCTAAACGGATGGGAACAAAGGTTAATTAGATCAGATTATGTAATATCGTTTTTGGGAAAAGAAGAAAAAATGTTTGTGTGTGTATGTTTGGGAGGTGGGGGGCGGGTGGTCTGAACGAACTGTAGAAACATGTAACTTATGTCATCCGTACAATACTAATTACCCGTTCTTTGTTGAAAAAGACCAGGTACAGCTGACATACACTTTCTGTTCTTCAAGATTTTTGCAGTAGTACTTGGTCAGATATGACTAAACTACCCTATAACTGTAGACAGTATTATATATTATGTTTTAAAGACAAATGTTGTGCAGCATACACCGTACCCGTTTGCCTTATGCAGTAATGCATGTGCACTTATCATGACTGCTTCCGTCGACTATGAAGAGCAATGCATGTGGCAGACTTTTGGGTGTTGACATCTATGGCCGCTGCCTTACGCATCTGATGTGAGTGCGAGTTGTTGAACTTCACCAGGACTGTTGTCTGTCTGACTTTTTACATGTTTAAATAAATGATATACATTTTGTATTATTTTTACTGGCTCAGGAATGAAACAGTTTGGGGTGACTACTGTGCCATGAGAAGTTCGAACCATGACTGATAACTTGATTGGTCAAGTGAGGGGTGATTCTGCATTAGCAGCAAATGGTTTTTACAATACTGTCCAGGTTTTGTGCAATTGAGAGGAGGAATGTAATCCCTGACCATATTTGGCATCCCCCTAGACTGTGATTCCGTGCATCCCTATAGCACAATAGAACACTGTCATTAAGTAAAAAAAAAAAAAAAACAACTAGAAAGGTACCAATATGAAAAGTATATTTGTATAGGCGCACAGTCATGTCTGGATGTCGCCCAAATGTAATATAATATGCGTAGTTCCCACAGTGAAGAGAAGTAACATGATTGGTGGATTCTAAAAGACAAATAAGTATGCATGGCGCATTAATAAATAGAGATGACACTTGTATTTATATTGGAAATATTTCCAAAAATGGCCTTGGCTAAAACTGACAAAAGCTAAATGGGTATCATGTAATCTATTGGGAAGTAAATGTTGTCTGTGTGATGTAGACAATATCACCAGTTCAGTGATGATTGGTTTTTGAAAAATATAGTCTAACCCTAACCACTAAATATAAGGGCGTGAAAAAGGGGTCCTTTACTTTCACTTTACTATATGACTGATACCCCATAGACGTTGAAAAGGACCTTTTACTGATTTTGCTGAGGTGTAAAACGACTGACAATGACACCACTTCAAATTGCCTGCATCTTCATATTTCTACAGATGTTTCCTTTGAAGACACTGTTGGTTTTGGTGACCTTATTGACCACCAGCTTGTTGTTGCAGACGGTATCATCCTCCCCTGTTTTCGCCACATACCTTGATCAGAAGACCAGACAGGTAGGTCGATCTGAGTGCAATCTCGTAGCTGTTAATTGGTTGTTTTTTTTTTTTACAAAAATGCCTGGTTGTGTATCCAATATTTTCATAGTGTATATGGATGGTATGTTAATGTATTTTCCCCCTATATAAAATATGTCTCATACAACCGAAAGAGCATGTCTTCTTCTTTCTTTCTTTCTTTCTTTCTTTTTTCTTTCTTTCTTTCTTTCTTTCTTTCTTTCTTTCTTTCTTTCTTTCTTTCTTTTTCTTTCTTTCTTTCTTTCATTCATTGTCTCACAGCTGCCATGCTGTAGCCCAGTATCGTAGTTTCTGTATTTGTATTGCGCTTCTCGGGTGGGTTTGGTGAAAGATTTGTCCTTCCTTTTGCAGGTTTTAGCTACTCTATGTATCCACCTCTTTCTTGGTCTTTCCCCCGCCTTCCTCCCATATCATCTGCTTTAAAAAATATCATATGCTGTTTGGTTTGGCTGCATTCTCACTGGATGGCCGAATTATTTCATTCTTTGTCTCTCAGTGTTATTCAGGCACGGTCTTATTCCAATTTTCTCGCAGGTAGTTATTTTCTGTTCTAGTACAATATTCATTGTCTATTTTTGACGCTTACAGCATAAAGTAGGGATAAATACGATTCCGATATCTGCAAGAGTCTCTCCTATAATTCAATATGTCCATCTTTTTCCAGGCGAGCCATTGCCTCGTTAGCCTGAAACCTGGCGGCTTCAGTCTTCCAGTGTGCACACCGAATATTGAATTTCTCTCTCTCTCTCTCTCTCTCTCTCTCTCTCTCTCTCTCTCTCTCTCTCTCTCTCTCTCTCTCTCTTTCTTTCTTTCTCTCTCTCTCTCTCTCTCTCTCTCATTCCCCCCCCCTCCCTCTTTCTCTCTAAATAAAAAGACATCATCAACATGTAGCTAGTACTTCGCAAAATGTCATTCTTATCCCAGTAGAGCATGAATAACACCAATCCGGCAGAACAAACAGCGCACCATGGAAATTAAAAGTTAATACAAACTTGCAACTGTTGGACGTAAAAACCGATGACATAACAACTTGGGGTTTACAGTCACTGAACGGAAATTCCTACAGATCTATATCTCCACGTGCAGTTTAACCATCCAATAAAAATCAAAACTGTCGCTGTTTAGGGCATGGGAAAAAAAGCCAGATCAGGTTCATAAGTGATCTAGTTTTCCTATTTTATTACAAACACGGTTTTTATTCCAGTGCTCATATGAATTATCTCGGGCGATGATTTACTTAGACCTCATGTCCTGCGCTGCCCTAACAAAAGTAACAAAACCCGACTATGAGGACGGCCTATTGACCAAACTGTTTTCAATTTATTTCCAGATGCCGAAATAATTTTTAATTTGCTTAGTTGACACATAAAATAATTGGTCGTTTTTCGTAGAAACAAAATCAATCAAATATAGAGGTTCTGTAAAGACTGCGAATAAAAAAGCGAATTTAAAAAAAAAAAATTTAAAAACAAAAGCAACTGCAATATTTATTCCCAGGTCGACCTGGCCTTGGGTGGGTACCGGGTGCAGCCCGGGAAGTAAAGGCGGCTGGTGTGATGCTGACCACGTCACCCATATTGTGCTGATTGGTTTATAACAATATATGTCTAGCCCTATATGCCCTTTACGCCTAATGTCGTGTAAAATGGACCTTTACTTTTTACTAACTGTATCATCTTGGCCACATTAAAACACATAACACTCTTTTAAAAACCAAACCAGAGGGAAAGGTCAAGGGCAAGGGAGAAAAAGGTAGACTAACATACAAGTAAGTTGGAGGACAAAGTCAAGACATGGATGAACAGCATCTGAAAGAGTGTACAACCAAGACAACAGATGGATGAACAGCGTCTGAAAGAGTGTACAATTAAGACAAGAGATGGATGAACCGCGTCTGAAAGAGGGTACAACCAAGACAAGAGATGGATGAACCGAGTCTGAAAGAGGGTACAACCAAGACAAGAGATGGATGAACAGCATCTGAAAGAGTGTACAACCAAAACAAGAGATGGATGACAGCGTCTGAAACAGTGTACAACCAAGACAAGAGATGGATGAACAGCGTCTGAAAGAGTGTACAACCAAGACAAGAGATAGATGAACAGCGTCTGAAAGAGTGTACAACCAAGACAACAGATGGATGAACAGTGTCTGAAAGAGTGTACAACCAAGACAAGAGATGGATGAACATCGTCTGAAAGAGTGTACAACCAAGACAAGAGATGGATGAACAGCGTCTGAAAGAGTGTACAACCAAGACAAGAGATAGATGAACAGTGTCTGAAAGAGTGTACAACCAAGACAAGAGATGGATGAACAGCGTCTGAAAGAGTGTACAACCAAGACAAGAGATAGATGAACAGCGTCTGAAAGAGCGTACAACCAAGACAACAGATGGATGAACAGCGTCTGAAACAGTGTACAACCAAGACAAGAGATAGAGGTGTCGGAGAAGCATTACATTCACAATCATTGCAAATGATTGAACTTACACATGTTCTCCTTAAACGAAGGTTTTGTTTAGACAGAAACACGTCTGATCTACTACCACAAAGTTGGGGTAAGTATGCCCCGCCTATAATACTCTGCGAAAACCTCGCATTCAGTTCAGTTACATAACATGTCTCAAAACGGGACATAACATAAAACCCCACCCAGGCTGAACTTCATCTTACTTTGTAACTGTCGGGGACCCTTATATAACCTTGAAATATGATCCCGAGGGATTCTCATTCGAGTGGTAGTACTTTGTGTCACCGGGTGGTAATCGCCCGTTGTGGAGTTACACGTCTCTCGCTAACTCACTCACTGTCAACAAGGTGAACTGAAGTAGGTTTGTGCTTGCTTAAGGTGGACGTTGCTACCTTTAAGCTATTTAGCCTCAAATATTATTGTGTTAAAGTGACGGCTTGAAATGAATTCTCCTTATCAGAATTTCACAAACTGAAGATTGTTTTCAAGCTGTTTAACCTTGTCCAGATATACATTGAATCAACATTCCCTTTCACATACAGGATATCCTGACACTGGCCGACAGAATAGCCAAACTGGCACAGTACGGAGGAAGGTTCTTGGGCGAATACCAGAAGAGAAATGGTGGAACACTGGATGCCCTGTACAACATGCCAGATTTGGAAGAGGCTGGCAGGTAAATTTGGTAGGTAGTTGTTGATATCGAAGATGTTGAGGTATTTGTAGCTCGACAATAATTTGTATGGGGATTTTGAAATGAAATAAGAGCAGAAAAGAGACGGACGCAGTAACGGCTGCTTTCCGGTGGTTGGAGTGTAAAACAATCGTACACATTGTAATTCTATGGTCTCACATAAACTGCTGTCATACGCGTAGAGTCGTTTCATAAATCTCAGAACAGGAGCATATATTTTCTGTACGGGAAATTCTGGTATGCGGCCGTAGTAACATTTAGACTTGATGGAGCCTTGAGCTATATAAAACCCTGAGGCCGCTTTTTGACGTCCCTTTAAACTTACACCCATCTGATCTTAGAAAACGTTAAAAATATATACGCCTTGTAAATATATAAACGATAGAAATATTTTGTCGATTTATGCTTAGTAAAAGAAGTAATAAAAATATGTGTCCGCAAAATCACAGAGATTACATTATATAATCCCCGAAAGGCTCTATCGCTCTATTTTTAAAAAAAAATTGCATTTGAGAACAAAAAAGGGAATTTGCAGAAAGTGAGGCCCAAGCTACAGCTTAGTTAGCTTACACCTAAATCCAGCACTGTTTGCAGGGTAATAAGCAGGCTCTCTCTCTCTCTCTCTCTCTCTCTCTCTCTCTCTCTCTCTCTCTCTCTCTCTATCTCTCTCTATCTCTCTCTCTCTCTCTCTCTCTCTCTCTCTCTCTCTCTCTCTCTCTCTCTCTCTCTCTCTCTCTCTCTCTTCTGGCTGGGCTTACTTCGTGATAAAGTGGGCTTGAAGAATGTACTGTAGAGTCAGGTAGGCAGTGGAACAGAACAGACAGAGTTTCCGTACCTCCAAAGACTGAGTAAAATGGAAGTAAGCAGAAGAGCTGATCGGTTTTCAACGCACAGCGAAAGAACAGGGGGACTTTACAATCAGGTTGCAAACGATACTATCCGTATGGGGACTCCTCATTGGCTACCGATGACACAGAAAGAGAACGTGTACGGATGCCTCGATTGCTGTGATCTCAATAGCTGACTATTTCTTCATATAGGAATGTATTCTACAATTACATGTTCGTTTGCTTCTTTATCTTCTTCTTTATTCTTTTCTCTACTCTTTCTTGGAATGACTGGACAGGAAGAGATCTTTGGAACAGGCTATTCTGGTCGCTTTGTAAAAAATATTTAACACTGCTTTATCTAGTGTTCATCAATTTTGATTTGTATGGTTCTTCCTTTTCTGAAGAATATCATCACTTCTGTTTTGTATACGTTCATCTACATGCCATAGTTGTCGCATTTTATTACAATATTCTTGAAGTTTAACTGCTGTTGGTGCTATGATTGTCTGGTCATCTGCAAAAAAGCAATTCATGTTATAATTCTCCGATGTTGTTTCCTTCGCTGTTCGTAGCTGATTTTCAAATTTGGTCGTATGTTATGAACATCTCTAAATTATTGGGGGTTTTCAACCTACAACAGAGGTATTGACATTAACGTCGTTGATCTAGAAAAGGGTCGCATTGGTCAAAGTGAGCTTGTTGAAAGTTTTGGTACCAAAATATCATTTTCGCGATCGGTGTGGAGTGCTGAGTTTGCGCTAACTACTGACATCCCAACAGTCGGACATTCCCATAAGGGCCTTCTCCTAATTTTCAGCAGCCAATGAAGAGTTCTTTTTCTGACGGTGCCAGTAGCCGTTTGATTATACGTCTGTTTTGCTTTTCCTCTGAGTAAAGAGTGTCGACCAGATTGACTGATTACAGTAATTGATTTGCCAAACTCTGCTTGCCATTTGAGAGTGCAAAACCCATGCTAGCATCTCATCGTCTGCTGAGAGACATTAGTCAGCACGATACATATCGTCTGGGAGCAACGAGACCTAGATTAACAATATTTCCTCCAAATGTTTTAAGCATGTCATTGTCCACAGAATTCAGCCCCATACACGGAAGTTTGCCACGGAAGAGAGATCTAATGATTCTGTGGAAGAAACAAATTAGTAATACAGATTTTTGGAAAGAAGTAAAGAGCCGAAAGCCGCTGATCACTGTTATCAAAAAGAGGTTGTTTGTTGTTTGTTTTAATATCCAGAAGCCATGAGTTGTTAACCCTTAGGCTCGGTATTATGGATATCGCAACCTTTCGGCTTTGATTCCATTGTAAATACCGTAAATCTGGGAGAAAATATGGCTTTCCTGCCTACCCCCGGGATTGAGCCCGGACCACAAGGAGTTCGTCACCCGGTCTCCGCGCAATCCGTTTTAGCCAACTACGCTAGAGAGCCGGGCATCAAAAAGAGGTAAGCTGTTGCATTATTATGAGTAGAAGACAAACCTGAAACATTTTGTGACAACTGTAAAGATTTATGGAAAGAAGCATAGGAAAGCGACGATAAAATATTGTTCACATCATGTTGTTATGGCACGCATTGTTGTCAACACAAGAAATAGTACATACTGTCGGAGATTCCAAGATCTGAAAAGCTTAACTCCAGTCGACGATGAAGGTGGAATGACGAAAAACTCTGCCGGTGACTCAGTGTAAATAATTACATTTCTGATTGCTTTCAGGTGAGACGTTGCTTGAGGGTTCCAAACTACCATTTTTCAAAGTCATCTCAACGTTGGTATATTTAGAAAACTCACAGCGTTGGTTTACTTAGAATATATAATCACATAGTTATTCACAAACTCACAGCGCTGGTTTACTTAGAATATATAATGACATAGTTATTCACAAACTCACAGCGCTGGTTTACTTAGAATATATATTGACATAGTTATTCACAAACTCACAGCGCTGGTTTACTTAGAATATATAATCACATAGTTATTCACAAACTCACAGCGCTGGTTTACTTAGAATATATAATCACATAGTTATTCACAAACTCACAGCGCTGGTTTACTTAGAATATATAATGACATAGTTATTCACAAACTCGCAGCGCTGGTTTACTTAGAATATATAATCACATAGTTATTCACAAACTCACAGCGCTGGTTTACTTAGAATATATAATCACATAGTTATTCACAAACTCACAGCGCTGGTTTACTTAGAATATATAATCACATAGTTATTCACAAACTCACAGCGCTGGTTTACTTAGAATATATAATCACATAGTTATTCACAAACTCGCAGCGCTGGTTTACTTAGAATATATAATCACATAGTTATTCACAAACTCGCAGCGCTGGTTTACTTAGAATATATAATCACATAGTTATTCACAAACTCGCAGCGCTGGTTTACTTAGAATATATAATCACATAGTTATTCACAAACTCACAGCGCTAGTTTACTTAGAATATATAATCACATAGTTATTCACAAACTCGCAGCGCTGGTTTACTTAGAATATATAATCACATAGTTATTCACAAACTCGCAGCGCTGCTTTACTTAGAATATATAATCACATAGTTATTCACAAAATCGCAGCGCTGGTTTACTTAGAATATATAATCACATAGTTATTCACAAACTCACAGCGCTGGTTTACTTAGAATATATAATCACATAGTTATTCACAAACTCGCAGCGCTGGTTTACTTAGAATATATAATCACATAGTTATTCACAAACTCGCAGCGCTGCTTTACTTAGAATATATAATCACATAGTTATTCACAAACTCGCAGCGCTGTTTACTTAGAATATATAATCACATAGTTATTCACAAACTCACAGCGCTGGTTTTACTTAGAATATATAATCACATAGTTATTCACAAACTCGCAGCGCTGGTTTACTTAGAATATATAATCACATAGTTATTCACAAACTCGCAGCGCTGCTTTACTTAGAATATATAATCACATAGTTATTCACAAACTCGCAGCGCTGGTTTACTTAGAATATATAATCACATAGTTATTCACAAACTCACAGCGCTGGTTTACTTAGAATATATAATCACATAGTTATTCACACACTCAATTGCTCATGCGTTCCTTCTATTTAGGCTAGCTTTCCTTTTATAATTCTTTAATTAAAAAAAATATTTTAAAAAATTGTTTCGTTTACAATTGAAAAATTAACTACTAGCAACTTTTTTTAAAGACATGTATTTCTTCTTCGTCTACTCTGAACTCAATCTGTTTAACATGTATATAGCTGACCACATTACATGGGGAGTGCCGATTGATCTATAAAATATAGGTCTAGCCCTATATGCACAATACGCATAAAGGCATGGAAAAAGGTCCTTGACTTTACTTGTTATATAGAGCTGAAGGGTGATATTTCTCCTGTCTAGTTCATCTTAAAAGATCTGAACATCAAGAAAGATTGGCTAATAAACAGCATCCTTTCTCGAAAGCTGAAATATTTGGGTCATATCAAGCGCCACGACGGATTGGAAAAAATTATAGCTAAAGGCATGGTACCAGGAAGGAGGGGCAGGGGCCGACCGACACGAAGATGGGCACAGGATATAGGTGACTCATTGAGTGTGAAAGTGCATGAGGCGGGAGAACTGGCGAGAGACAGAGTTTCTTTCAGGCAGACTGTGATGAGAGCGACGTTCTGCAAAGAACCTGCTACATGATGATGATGATGAGTTCATCCTTTTCTGGAAACTACAGCCCTATGTTCGATTGTGTTCGGGTCAACCTGTCAAAAAAGTTTTCATCCTCCAAACACATACATACATACCGTTTCCAACAGACGATGAAAAGATCTAATATATCTGTTTCTCTTGCTTATTCAGTTTATTTATCGCTGAATAAACAAGACTGCATCTACACACGCATACACGCACACAGAAATGCAGGCATTCACTGACGTAGAAACTTATACGCACACACACACACACACACACACACACACACACATATATATATATATATATATATATATATATATATATATATATATATATATGCATACAGATATGTATATATAAAACGAGAATGGCACCATTTTGTTCTATTCAACGAATCCACCACATACAATGAGCATAGATGTGCTAATGAGGAGATAAGTTAT